AATGAATACCACCAAGCCCTCCATGGGAGTCTAGCATGCCCTAACCGGCCCTCAGCTTGTATCTAGAATGCTCATGAGCCCTCATTATGAGTCTGGCATGTTGTACCCGACCCTTAGGTCATATCTGGATTGCTCCAGGGTTTGTTGGCTACTGCATAGAGTAGTGCAACCTCAACCCAACCCACATAATATTTTACTAACATATACATATAATCATACAAATAATATCACAGGTAGTCTTACCGATCTACAAGATTAGCATATCAAAAATAACAAGCATATCTATTCCACGCTCAACATATCAACGAATATCAGGTTATCAAACCAATGGGCTGACCTTGGTGCCTTCGACCCGAAAACACAGTGAGGAAAGCTCACCTAAAGCGGTTGAATATCTCAGACCAATGCTCAGACCGCTGATCCGGAAATCCCCACACGCTAGCACCATCAAATATCACCCAATTAATAACTAAATCTCGAACCATCAAGAAAATTAACTATATCTACTATAATCATCACTAACTATAACGCAGTAGTGATTTCCCATCCTCCGTGGCAGATCTGAATGGCCTACACATATCTGTATGGATGAGGGCCAAAAATCCTCAACTCTTTCACATGTACCAGTGAAAGGTGATTTAGACATCTTGCCCATTAAACAAGACTCACATTCATTGTTTTTGTTTCAGGTCAAACGATTCCAACATCCATCCTTTTGGAGTTGGGCGATGCGTTTCTTGTTAATGTGCCTAAGACGACAATTCCATAGGCATGACTTGTCTAAACTATTAGAAGAACCAATACTATACACATTGTTTCCTAATTCATTCACACAAACAATAGTCTTATACACACCATCACAAGATAAGCTTTGAAAACAAATACACCATTAAAATAAACTGAAAAAAGTATCATCATTATTATCAAAACCATGACGATATCCTTGTCTAAATAAAGCATGAAAAGGAATAATGTGTCAATCCATTTCTAGCGAATAGAAACAATTATACAAATCAACCCTAATACTAACAAACATAAGCTTGTAAGTCCCAATCCTGGTAATAGTCAATCTTCACTTGTTCCCCATGATCAAGTTTAGATTCCCATGATCGAACTATTCACTTTCCTTTAGTCTCTTCATATCAGAACAAATGTGGAAATCACATCCTATATCAAGAATCCAAGACTTTGAAATGCAAATATTGTTGACTTGATTAGAATACGCACCAAAAGAAGAGCCAGTAGCTTTGGACTTGGCATCTTTCACTTCCTGCAAGTACTTAGGTCATCTTTTTCTCCAATGGCCCTTTTAGCCACAATAAAAGTACACAACCTCTTTTGGATCAGCAACATGACAAGCGTTTAATTTGAGCTTTGCTTTAGATCCACTGGACTCTCCATGGTGAGCCTTCCATTTCCATTTAGATTAGGAAGCGACCTTTATCTTCTTTCCTCTACTTTTTGGATAACCATGACAGGATCAATTGCAGAAGATCAAACTAATTAAATAATACTATTAATATATTAGAACTTATAATATATTAATAAACCACAAGTGTTATTTCTCTCATTTAGTCTATCCAATTGCATGGTGCCATGCAACCCAAATGGACCATGCCGGGTCGGGTCAAGTACATACTAGAAATAGTTATAGACTTAGACACCTTATCCAACAACTATAGCGTCTGCCTTTCCTTCCTGGTGAACTTGAGTGACCGCTAGTCCCCTACTGTCTTCTTCTTCTTCTGCCGCTGCACGGTCACCGTCGCCATTCCGGACGGCTGTTGCGGCTGGTGTTCTTCTCCGACTGCCATGCGCCACCGTGGGGGAGGTAGCTGAGATTGGATGCGTTTTCTGGTGTAAACTCACGTGTTGAAGATACGAGCGCGTGTGTTGACGTGTTGCTTGGCAGAAGATCAAGGGAAACCATCGCCACCACCGTGAAGTGGTGGCTGTCGTCGCAAATCACCGCCTGCCGCCTCCAGATTGCTGATAGGTGTGTTTTACGTGACCAACTCGTGTTTGTGTACATGTGTTTTGGTGTTGCTACACGAGGGTGGGTGTGCTCATTGGCCAGAAACCATGGAAAAACCACCATGACTACCAACCATGGTGGTTACCACCACCTTTTTTGTTCTGCCACCACCCGCCGCCGCATAGTGGTGGTTGTGTGTGTGTGTCTTTACGTGTGTGTGTGTGTGTGTTAATTGGGAATTTACTTGTAAAATTATAATCATGTCGGAATAATCAAAAGAAAAAGTCGTAATTACCACCGTGAGGTGGTGGTTGTCGCCTCCTGCCACCACCAACCGCCATGTTGGGTGGCGGTGTGCTTTTGCTTATGTTTAGTTTCTTTTGGGACGCTTGGACAAAAATGGACTGCAATCATAACCACCACCATGAGGTGGTGGCCGCCGCTGTAAGCCACCACTGACCACCACTACTCGAGGTGGTAGTGGGTGGTGCCCGACTAATGAAACCATAGTGGGCCCAATGAAACCCTAATGGGCCCAATGAAGCCCTAATTGACCTAAAAGCCTTACCATGAGACTAATGGGCTAGTATTGGGTTGGAAACCCTAATTAGGGTTTGGAAAACCCTAATGGCATAAAACCCTAATTTTGGGGATCAATCACGACTCGCACGGGAATTATTTAATAAACCTAAGATATTAATTAATAATCATTTCCAATTAACCTAAGGCAATCTTGGACTTAATGGATTAAGTCCTTACTGGGTTAAGTAAGAAACACTTAACCCTAATCGTCATTTCATGTGAAAACCCTAATTTCACTTGGGCCTTTCTTTTGGGACTTGGTGATTGGGTTATTGATGGGTTATCCAAGAATAAGTAAATAGACTTAAAACAATTGGATGGGCTTTAGGATAAGGCCCGTATGAGGGGTTGGGCCCAATTTGGAAAATTAGGCCATAGATAGGCCATAAGTTGGGCTTAATGATTATGAGATATTGGGCCGTTGGTATACCAATAATTTGGACTAGAATTTATGGATGGGCCTTAAGGAAAGACCATGAAGAGGCCTGGGCCCAATTTGGAAAATTGGGCCATATGTTGGGCATTGGCCCATTACTTGACTATTAGGCCTTTGGAGTGTGAGTTGGACCTTGGGCTTGGCACCGAATTATTAATTGGATGTTGTTTAATGTTGACAGCTTGGGAATCTGTCAACCAGCAGTTGGAGTTTTATCCGCGGGACTTCAGCAGTGTGAGGTGAGTTTTCCTCACTATACTCAAGGGTCGAAGGCACCAAGGCCGGCCCTTTGGATTGTTATCCTGATATGCTATCCTAGTATGATCTGTTAGATCAGTATCCTGATAGATAGGACGGTATTATGTTATTATGTTGCTATGATTCGTTAGATCGGTTTGCTTGTCTATAGGCTGTTATGTCATTATTTGTTATATGGGCACATGTATCGGTTGGTGGTTAAGGATTATCTGCTTAGTGCGAAAGCCAATAGACATGGGCATTCCAACCCAATGGTTGTGGGCCATGAGTATTCCATCCCGATGATGATTGGACTCGTAGTACGTGGGCATTCCAACCTGATGGTTGTGGGTCGAGGGTATTTCATCCTGATCGATGACTGGACCCGGAGGTTGATTGGGTCTGGGGTATTCCAACCCAATGGTTGATTGGACCCAACATATTTTTCAGTGTATACGGTGAGACTGGGTTGCTTCGTCCGTCAGTCAACGAGCATAGGGTATTCCATCTTGATGGATGATTGGACCCATAATATGTTGTCATTCCAACTCGATAGTTGAGGGCCTGAGGTATTCCAACCTGACGGTTGATTGGACCCATAGTATGTTGTTTGTGATTATATGTATATTGTTGTGTGTATGAGTATTTTGGGGGAACTCACTAAGCTTTGTGCTTACGATTTCAATTTATTGTTTCAGGTGCTTCAGATGACTCGGCAAGGCGAAGACATGACCGTACACATCCTCGTGATTTGGACTTATGGTTTCTGGGATACTCTGATATTAAAGTATTTTGAAAACGTTTTGTAATAACTAATGACTTTTGGATGTTTGAAGTAGTTTTAAATTGACTTGATTTTTATGGGTGTTACACAATGAATGCAATGAACAAAACAAAGATCACACACTTAGCAGTTCCCAGGTAAGTCTTCATCACAATGTTTTTCTTCCTTAACTGTCTCTCAAACACTTCCTTCTCTGCTTCCATAGCTTGCTATATCATAACCACCTTTTTTTAGCCTTCAAAACTTCATTGAAGTCTTCCTTTCTGCGCAACCCAAACCTCATCTTACAAAGCTACTCTTTGTAATACCCCTCTTCCATTGCATCGTCTTTCCACAGAAAAACTTACATTTTGGACCTTCAGTTGGCTGATTAAAAAGGAAGACGACAATTAGGGTTATAATTAAGGAAAAGGTGTACATTTCCAACTCAAGATACCAAAGAGAGTGTAATTAAACAAAAGGAACACTGAACAAAAAGTTTTTGTAGTTCCAAAACCTTTGAGTTACGTTGTCGTCAGTCCAGGAAGTCCTTTCGATGCTTATTCCATCTTTACAGTCACAAGGTGGGCATGCTTCATTATAACGATGGATTCCGACACGCAGGAGGTTGGTCGATCGACCGGAGGAGGCATGCATTGCTCTGGTTATATCAATTGAGTAGATTGTATCGGTGTGACCTAATTTGGGGTAAGAATGTATCCTTTATGGTTTCAATGAGTGACCCGTAAACCAAGACACGTCAACAGTAACCCGTAAACCGGATACATTTTCTCTTAATCCCTTAAGTTGTTATTTACTAACATTAATTACCAATTGAGCATAAAAAAACGTTAATGACTAAATATGCAAATTAGTCAAACATTGTTGTGCTACAATGTAAAAAACACTATGGTATTTATATCTTGAATTCATTATGTATCATATCAAAATTAATTTGCACATTGACCTATTTCTAATTTCTAATCCCTAATATTGGGAAGATCTTTTACATGTACAAAAATATCTTATTGCCAAAGGAAAGGTTTCCTCTAAAAAGCGTATCAAAACACGTCTAACCTAAGATCCCAAATCAAAATCAGCCTTGAATCCCCCATTGTTGTAATCAAGTGGAGCTTGACGATGATGCAGAACGAAGATTGAATTAAATTTGCGTTCAGATGATCAACTGGAGTCGAATTTACGGCAGTATTTATAGAAAATGATCAACGAGAATCGTAACAAAAAACCACTCCATTCTCGATATGTCAAGGTTCTTTTATTTTTATTTTTGTATTCAAATTACTTATTTCCTGCTTCCATTTCATTAGGGTTATGTATTATTGAAGAGATTGCTGTCGAAATCTCGAGCCTTGAAACATTTAGGGTTTCTATATTAGAGCTCCGACATTAAGAACATAAACGTTCTTGCATTTTTAACTATGGCAGCATCGTTGTGACTATATTTTGCTTAGCTATTAGGCTGAGGTTTCACTTTAGTCCATTTTAGTTCATGGTCTTGTAAAAATTTTGCATCTAGGTTTCTTAGCTAGAATTTGCAATACCATCATCGTCTTCTCAGAACAACTTATAAGGTTCTTGAACATGCATCCCTGAAATGATTAATACCACTTGGTTAATCACAATCAAATAATGATTTCATTAAATGTAAAATCATCTAAGTTTCCTTAGCCATAAACATCTGCTTATACAGTTATCTACCTACATGCTCTATTCTTTTAGGGTTAAACACAAGAAAGAACAACTTACATTCATTTATATGTTTATATCATCCTACTTTCACTTCTATATCTGAGTAAACTGTTCAAACTACAATACTATAATCATCTGAAAGTGACTTTACTATTTCAACACAGGCTCTTGGGGTTCAGAAACATTAAAAGAATTGTGCAATCAATTCGAACAAACAACTCAAGAATCCAATCAACAGATGGGAACCACAAATCAGTCGATAAAGTCGCTCTATTTTCCTCACAACCCACTTTCCCTTCTAAACAACGTACTTTCTTTTCCCGAAATACCCCTGGTTCATTTCACAATGAGAAACCACTTTCTCCCATACTCAAAATCTCCCGAGCATTTACTTTATCACTAACCCACTCTTATATAGTCATTCCTGGTATAATACTATACAAAAACACAACATTAGCAAAAACCAGAACAAATCTTGAATCTTTTCAACCAAGAAACAACACTCTTTACATAGAAGATGGACACGCCCTTTTAGTTTCATCAATCTTATCAATTTTTGAATGTTTCATATTATTAATCCGCGCATTATATTTAGCAATTTTATTCTCCCCCACCATAACCACAGCTCCATTCGCTGAATACTTTGGTGATTCCTCAAGAAAAAAATGGCTAAAACTCGTTCGTAGGACATTAGAAATAGCAGGTCCCGCTTTTATAAAATGGGGTCAATGGGCTGCAACAAGGCCCGATCTTTTTCCTAGAGACATATGCACAGAACTTTCAAAACTTCACACACAGGCCCCTGAACATTCCTATGCGTACACTAAAAAGACAATTGAAAAAGCTTTTGGGCGTAAAATTCACGAGATATTTGACGATTTTGAAGAGATTCCGGTAGCTTCCGGAAGCATTGCTCAAATTCATCGGGCGAAATTAAAATTAAAATCACACGGTAAAAAAACGGTGAAGCCGTTAGTGGTGGCTGTAAAAGTTAGGCATCCGGGGGTGGGTGAATCGATTAGGAGAGATTTTGAGATAATTAATGTTGTTGCAAGAATTTCTGGGTTTTTGCCAACTTTGAAATGGTTAAGGTTAGATGAAAGTGTGCAACAGTTTGCTGTTTTTATGATGTCACAAGTGGATCTTGCACGTGAAGCAGCTCATTTGAGTTGATTTATTTACAATTTTAGAAGATTGAAAGATGTTTCGTTTCCAAAGCCTGTTTATCCACTTGTACATCCTGCTGTTTTGGTTGAAACTTTTGAACAAGGTGAAAGTGTTGCGTTTTATGTTGATGAGCTTCAAGGACATGAGAGGCTTAAAAGTTCTCTTGCTCATATCGGGACTCATGCACTTCTCAAAATGCTTCTGGTAAGCAAGGGTATATTAGTAATTTTACACGGACCTTTGATAATCAATTTTGTTGGTAGTTTTTTAATATTGTGGTGTGTTTTCAGGTGGATAATTTCATACATGCGGACATGCATCCTGGGAATATTCTAGTACGAAACAAATCATCGAGGAAAGGGATATTTAAATCGAAGCCACATGTTGTGTTTCTTGATGTTGGAATGACTGCGGAACTTTCCGGAAGCGATAGAGTGAATTTGTTGGAGTTTTTTAAAGCGGTTGCAAGGCGAGATGGTGACACTGCAGCAAAAAGCATGTTGAGGTTATCAAAGCAGCAGAATTGCCCTAATCCACAAGCATTTATAAAGGTAATATATAATTTTTTTTTTGGAATGTATAATGGTGTAACATGAAAGATTAAAGTATGTTGCTATTATAGGAAGTCAAGGAGTCGTTTGACTTTTGGGGTACCGAAGAAGGCGACATTGTACACCCGGCTGATTGCATGCATCAGTTGTTGGAGCAAGTAAGGCGTCATCGAGTCAATGTTGATGGAAATGTATGCACTGTGATGGTTACAACTTTGGTTCTTGAGGTATATTTATTACCAAATAGCCCTTTTATTGTTACGTGAATGGACATGAATACCCTTGTTTTTTTTGTGATTGTAGGGTTGGCAAAGGAAGCTAGATCCGGATTATGATGTTATGCATACGCTACAAACTTTGTTGCTAAAAGAAGATTGGGCAAAATCACTAACCTACACAATAGAAGGATTAATGGCCCCATAAAGTTGATTTAAAGAAAAAGTTTTGGAAACATAAAGTGGTCATAGTTGTTCAAACGATATCTTTGATTGGTTTAATCTTTTTTCCAATTGTTGAAATTTTGTAGATGAATTTTTGAGTTTATGAAAGCAAAATACTAGCAATGAATTTTTGAGTTATAAATAAAGATTGTTTCATAGAGAACAGAGATAGAAACACAAACACAAACACATTGAATGGAACTGAAAGATAAAAATTATCATTGAGAAGCATACAAATGTACAACTGTACAAAATTATATCACAACTAAAGTGTTGAATCAGAACTCTAGAGCAACAATGGAGGGGACAAAAATGGCGTTCATGTTGAAGCTGTTGGGTTATTAATCCTGTGTCTTCTTTGGTTGTGATCAAAGAGACATGTTATCTGCAATAGTAAATTATGGGATTAAGAGATTTTTTTTTACAAAATAGAATGTTTGTAATACCTTTTGGCTATTTTTTTTTTTTTGCCATTTTTTAGCTTCATTTCCAGATCACCAGCTTCATCTTCATCCTGATTCAGAGTCCTCAAGAACATCTTCAATTTAAATTTCTTTTCAAGAACAAATTGAAGCCAAAAACCCACTTGCCTTCTTCCAAACTCCATTATTCAAATCAAGAACACCACCTACAACACAAAATTAATTCAAGTTATGATTATCTGATTACTTTCAGGGTAAATATTTAATTACAAACATATTCCCTAATTTTATGTATTACTTCCTTAATTAATCACAATTTGTCAAACACTTAACACTTATTTTCTGACAATTGTATGATAATGCAATCTCATACACTTATTTTCTGACAAATAATTATTCAGTAGCACAAAGTTATTGTTAAAACACACATCCAAACAAATTAAAAGAAGCAAGTTAGAAGTCACTGCAAGAAAGCAGCTTTTTGAGGATAAATGCAAAATGACCAAAGTATCCCTAATTTCAATTAAAAAGATAGTCTGATTCTGATCCTTGAGGCTGCAATAATCACTTCAAAAAAGCAATCCAAACACTCCTTTGGAAACCTATATGAAACTAGAGAACATAGTACATGTTACCATTTAATAATTAAACTCTAACAAAGAAGGGGGAAAAAAATTTAACACAAGTGTACTAAAACTTGAAGAAAATGCAAGAAAGTATCACTAGATTGTGTGTATTAGCATTTAGCAACAAATATGGATAACATGGCACAACGATTCAACAATAAATGCAACTAAGATGATTAATGTCTTATTAGCATTTATCTAAATAAACAAAATATGCATATAATATGCTAAAGGATCCATGCTTTAAATTAATCATATGTTAGCTAAGGTTATGAACTACATTTTTTACAATTTACAAATAAAGCAAGTAACGGTTTACATATATCCTAAACTAGTTCAATAATGCAACGTATTAGTTACATAGCAACTATATTCCATCATGGAATGTAATTTTATATTTCTTTTATTTATTTTCATTAACTTTATTTGTCTGTTGCTATTTCTTGCATAACAAACATCAAGACTTTGTTTTGTGCATCTTTTAGACATTAGGATCTACCTACTAGATAAGGAGATATAAGTGGAGTTGATAAAAGAAAACAAATTTTTAGAATAAATGTAAAATGACAAAACAATCCCTAATTTCAACTGAACTATTATCTTATTTGAGGTCTTGAAGTTGCAATAACCACTTTGAAAACACAATCCAAACACCCAATAGAACCATGTCTGAAACTGAAGGACAATGTGCTCTAACAAAGCATAGGATATAGGTGTAAGAAAGATTCACATAATATACTATTGCTAACATGCTTTAAATTAATTGTATTTGAATCACATGTTTACTAAGGTTATGCACTACATTTATTACACATACATCAAGTAAAGGTTGAAGTATATCCTAAACTAGTTTATGCAACATATCAGTGTTTACATAGCAAGACAATCTCAACTACAAGATTAGGAGAAGCAAGTAAAGAGGTGCTGCAAGAAAACCTATTTTTAAAACTAAATGTAAAATGACCAAAACTATCCCTAATTAAATGATTATCTGATTCTGATTCTGATTCTTATGAGTTGAAAAACACAATCTTACCACCCCTTTGTTAGAAATATGGTTTAGTGGCACTTGGAAATCTGAGAATCGTGATAATCACTTTCAAATCGAAGTATTTGGGTGGTACTCCTAAATCCTCAATTGGATAAGACTCAGATAAAATCAGAGAGAAAAGAAAGAGAGAATGAGATGGTGTAATTTCGTGAGTCCCAGAAAAGTGACTAAAATTGGTTATAAACCTTCCTTATCTGAAAAACTATCAAAACTGTCATATAACAGTTTTTCTCAACAGTAAAAACTTTATAAATCCGGGTTTTGTATAAGGATTAACGCAAAGTTAAAACTGTTAGACTAATGTCTAAGTCCATAACTATAGTTGGTAAGACTTGACCCGACCCGACATGGTCCATTTGGGTTGCATGACATCATGCACTTGGATAGACTAAATGAGAGAAATAAGACACTTATGGTTATTAATATATTATAAGTTCTAGTATATTAATAATAAGAATAATAATATTTAATTAGTATTGATCAAGAATTAATTTAGAATTAATTATGTGATCAAAAGAAGACTAATTAAATATATGGTTTGATTGTGCAAATCATCCATAACTTATATAGTGGGCCAAAGCTCCATGGATAATCAAGTTGGGTTAAACCCATAGGATGCTCCATGGAGGTTACATAACCCATGGGTCATGGAAATGAAAGATCATGACAATTAGGGTTTACATGGTGTAACCCTAATTGTATTACATTATATAAGCATCATATTATTCACCAAAATAGGCACTAGTGTGTGTAAAAGAAGGGCTAGCCGATTTCATGAGTTGCAGAATTCTCTCAAGTTATTCCAAGTGTATTTGGTGTTGTGTGAACCATTTGAGGTGTCACACTTGAGGCACTAAGCACTCAAGCTTCATGAAGACATTCTACATCAAAGAGGTATGTATTCTATCTTGTTATATTCATTGTTTTGTATGCTAGATTAGGATAATACCTTGGATGTTCATATTTACATGTATAATAGAGAAAACATAGATCCAAGGTATTTAGGGTTGCATGTACACTTAGGAGTGTTAGAATGCTCAAAACCCAACAAAAACTGGGTCAAATATTCAAAATTTGGATTTTCTGATGCATTTTTAATACAATAGTAAAAACTCTGCCCCTTGGACCCCGCTCCCAGAGGTGCTGCCCCCGGACCCCCCGTTCGTTCAGGGGCTTCGCCCAAAATGACAGTATACTTTAATACTTGATCAAACTTAAACAAGTGTGTACTCCACACCTTCCTTACTTGTTTAATATTTATCAAGATCATTTTTAGTCAACAAAGTAATCCTATTACACTTAAATAACATTGATGATAACAAATCATCAACACCCTTGGATCCCAATATCAAACTAGAGGACAATAGATGCAACTTATTTGTGTCTTGCTAGCATTTAAATAGTTAAGCACTCGTATTATTCTAAATTAGACATCCCTAGTGGCAAATAATAAAGTTTCTATAGTGAAACAAGATACGCATATACTAAGGTATCCATACTTTAATATAACCGTATTTTCTATTTCAGTCATAGGTTGACTAAGGTTATGGACTATGTCTATTCCAAAAAAAAAAGGAAAAGTAGATGTATATCCTAAACTAGTTCTATAATGCAATGTATCAATGTACTAGTTACATACCAACAATATTTTTTTCATCATGTGATAAATATTTATGATTCTTCTATTTTTCTTTAACTTGATTAGCATAATACTCACATGTGTTCCATAATAAGTATCCGTTGGTTTTGAGGTTCAAAGAAAGAGATTATTCAACTACAAGAAACATAAATCTACTTGATTTTTATGTAAAATTGTATGGATAAAAAAAAATTCTTTAAAATATTGTAAAAAATCATAGGGTAAAATGCAAGGAGAGCAATGTACTTACATAGATTTGTTAATTACAACATCTAACTTTCATTTCCTCCTATTACAACATTATACTTTGAAAACCCTACCCAATTATAACAATATAATTGGGTAGATTTTTCAAAATGCGATGTCATTATAAAGAAATCGAAAGTACAATGATAAAATTGGGTAGATTTTTCAAAAGCACAATGCCTTGATAAAAAAATAAAAAATAAAAATAAAATAATTGAAATCATTTGCAATTTCTTGTATTCAATTATTTGCAACATTTAACTCAACAAGTGATTTTATAAGATTGACTATTAATCGAAAACATGTTCTATGAATAACAAAATTTGGGAACTTTTTCAGACCAAATTTGATATTAACAAAAAAATTTGCTAGAAAACAATAAATTGCAATTTCTTTGGGATAGAGGGAGCATAAAAGTTGATACTTATTATGGAACAAAACAAGTAAGCATATTTCATGATACGAATCATGAATAAAAAACATGGAGTATATTAATATAAACATGGACCCTAAATGACAAAACCAATCCATATATACAGAATAAACATAAAGCATTAGATGCAACATTTTTCATATGATACCATGTTTGTATCATCTTCACAATCCATTGATCTATAGGGGATCATGAACATTGAATATCATCCACCCGTTTTGATATCTGCAGATTTAGGATGATTGGTCTTAAATTCGGATTTCATAAACTAAATTTTGTTAAAAAAAATAACAAGAAACACGCTTTTTGCTACATACATCACATGGTGAGATTTGATCGTATGCCAAGTTCACTCGTAACTCTTGATCTCTACTCCTGTGCTTTGTCACTAATTCTGGAATTCAAAAGAAGTCAAAGATTGAGTCAGGAAAAGTCTAGGTGATTACAAAATGGATATATATATATATATATATATATATATATATATATATATATATATATATATGTATATATATATATATGTATGTATCGATTTAGCCATTTAACTTATTTCTAGTAGAGATTAAACCATTTTGAGTGTTAGGTTAAAAGTGATTTGATTTTACGATTATTTATGGTCAAAACGATTTAGATTTGGAGAAATAGATAAAAATATGGTGTAAACAACTGACTATTAAATTAATGTAAAATAACATATTTATTCTTATTAT